AACCCTAAGTCGAGCCCAAACTCTAAGCCCCCAAGCCTCAACCGACTTAAACCCCCAATCCCAAGCCCCGGCCACTCAGGGAGGAGGGCTGGGCCGGGGGGTGTGGGGCGGGGAGAGCGTGAGCGCGACATGCAATTGAGAGACCTCAGCCGCTATAACGACTGAATCGCTTGCCGCTTGTTTACAAGGCCTCAACGTTCAAGCGAACTCCCCTGTCTTCATACTTGCTTGATGAATATTAGCAGAGCGAGACCACCCCTCACACATTGTAGGAAAGTTCAAGACAAGAACTCTCAGTATGCTCAGCGGGTGTAGGGTCTTGAAATGGAATCTTTCTTGAAGGCTTCAGATGTGTGCATGCCAAGCGCGGTCGCCTGCAGAGCAAGTTTACAGTTCAAGGTTTGCGGCTTGGAGGGTGTTCGCTTCCAGGCCAGGGTGACAGTATGGAGAGTTGGGCGGTCCAAGTATGTGCCAGATTCTTCGCTCATCGCGGCAGCCTGATGGCAAACGATACAGGGTAAGAGCATCAAGTCAGGACGTCTTAGGACCTCTCAGGACCAACAGGAGCAAGGAGGAGCTTGCCCATCGTGCCGCTCATCTGTCCGAGTCTGAAGGATCTTGGGATATCTCAGGTCAGGTCTGTCCGCATGCTGCTGCACGGATGCATAGGAAAAGCCAGTTTGCCCATGCAAATCACCAAGCGACCATGTCGGAACAGCACAGCAAACTGAGTTGAAGATTCAGTATTTCGCTTCAAGAGGATCGAGCCTGAACAGTGCGTAAGCGAACTCATGTACTGAAGGAAGGAGGGGTTGAATCAATGTACCGTAGCGGACATGCGAGCAACCGACGCGTCGCACGGATCATGCTGATGGCTTTGCCAGCGCTGTACCTTCCGAGGGTTCAAATGCCGACCGGTGCCTCACTGCATTTTTCCTCTGGCAGGCTCCTGGCTGCAAGCCAGCGCAGTCGTCGAGTAGACGTGGGGCTCCTTATGTTATGAATTGCGTGATTTGCGTCTCCTCTTTGTTGCACCTGGTTGCAGCTTTGCGCCGGCCAGGTGTCCCTCAGCGGAACACCAGAAAGGCAACTGTGGGCCATGCCCGAGACTCCCAGAATGGCTCGCAATATGGCTCACTATGCATCACTACTGTATGCATCACTCCAGATTCGGGCACCAGCCTTGCTTAAGGTCGGGCAGACAACGCCAACGCGATCAAAGCGAGAATCCAAGGTGCCGAAATGTATCAACGACTCGGATCGTCGAGTCCATGTCGTATCATGCCGCGGGCGATCTTGATGTTTCTTAAGCAAACTTCTTATACGGTATGTTCTATTGTTTGTCTCGTCCTGCTCAATTTGCGGATGTTTGCGTGCGATCGCGCTCAGAGCAGCATTGAAGCGTTGGAAGGAGCAGGAGACCACGTCAAGGACAGAGGTGGATGTTCGGCTCGGCCCTGAGCTGCGTAAGGCTGCGTATAAGGTGTAGGAGGCTCCTGCGATTTGGTTTTTGAATCCTTTGACATCTTTGAGCGCATGGATGCTACAGGCAGATGCTCGAATGGGCTGCTGCGGAGGCTTGGAAAAGCCACCAGAGACCTGAGGAAGTAAGAATGCTTGACCGATGCAAGGCCGCGCGCACAAGACTTGTGGCAAGCCTCTCCGATGGCATGGCCCTGAGATGCCCTAAGCCAGGCGTTATATCCGACTCTCTAGTTCTGTTCCTCTCCTTGACTTGTGCTGAAGGTGAAGCTCAGTACAGCGGTCGCCGAGCTCAGCAGCATCAGGCCTCGCATGCCCAGTCAATATAGTCAATTGCCTTACAATGTTCCAAGCCTTGTGCCTGAATAGGGCCGACTGGCTAATCGTCTCCGCGCAGCAACCATGGCACGAGCCAGGCAACTGCTGTTTTCGAGCCCGTCTCAAGAGACGCAGGGTCATCAGCCGTCGTTGAGTGTCTTTGGGGGTATGATCGCGGCTGGGTATGTTGTTTCTCGCAACAGTGCTTGCAGTCTTGGGGATTTTGCATGAAGGAATTGATGCCTATCGCTATTGACCCACCGATGGTGTTTTCGGCACAGTGCAAGTTTCCGTACGTTCTCTTGCCTAACCCGGTGCGCATGCCGAATTGCGAACGACGACCCTCTTGGTGTGTCTGCGTGCCCGCGACGCTCTCGCCTGGGCACCTTGACCCCAGAAAGCCAATACCAAGGGCTTGGCATCGTTTCAGGCACGGAATCACCCTGTCGCCTAGGTCCCGCGCGTACAATCCCACGTGCATTTTTGCCGCTTGAAATGTGCCAACAGAGTTCTTCTTAAAGATGGTTTCCGAGGTTGTGCGCCACTCACCTTACTCTTCCGCGCAGTGTTATTCGCATTTTCCGAAATGCAGGTTTTAGTACTTTTAAAGGTTGTTGATTCCGTTTTCGTCGTTTTAAGGTGTATATAATTTGGCGTTAGTTCTGTGCGGGTTCTCGATTCAAATTGTGAACAAGATAGGACAGTCTTTGCCGGTGGTCCTTACCTTACCTCCATCGTGAGAGCGCAGGGACGTGCTTTCGAGCCTTTGCGGGCTCTTGGCGGGGCTTGCATTTTCTTCTGCATCGTTTTCGTATCCATCAGTTGTGCAGTTTGATCACGTGCACGTTTTTGGCTGCAGAGGGCCTCAAGAGTGACAGATCCAAAAACACTGGTGTGCGCATCTCACCGGCATCAGACGACGGTGTCCATCACCTTTCCTCCCCGAGTCAATTCTCAAGAGCTGATAAGGCCCTCGATAAAGCCCACCGGAAACAAAAGCACAATCATTTGTGTGTTCCAGGCTCGCCCGCGAGGCGATGCAGACGATGCTCGACAGCTCGGGCGAGTTGCCTTCCAATCTTCAGGAGTCGTGTGCTGCAGTGCTGGGCGAAGCAACAATTCCTGGAATCCATATACTTGGTGAACCCGAGGAGGATGGACTAGCCGGGCCGAGGACGGTGCCGATTGTGGTTGTGCAACAAGGTTTCCATGGGCCTGGAGTCCCGTGAATGACTTACAATGTGGGTCGGGGCCGGGGTGGTTGGTGCGTAGAGGTTGGTGCGTGGCGGGGGCGGGGGGGGGGGAGGCGCGGTGTGGAGGGGCGGGGGGTCGCGGGGTATTTCCAACAAGCTGTGCCGATCGATTTGTGCCATTGGCATCGAGGCTTACGGCTTTGGCACTTCCAAAAGCGGCCTCGCTGCTGCGTAGCGCTCTCTACGTCAAGTGTCTCTTTTCTCTAATTTTGTGTTTTTAATAAAAATCATTGCTGCGAAGGACAGATTCGGACGGCTGGTTTCATCGCCAGGCCCGGCTCTTGCTTGCGGCGTAGATGCCGGAACTGGCTGGAACAGCTCACCCACGGGTTTGGACCACTTTTCTGAGAGCTCCTTCTTAAGCGTCTTTGAAGTTGAGACATCGGAGCAGGGTCAAGCGACAGGCTAACATGCAGCAAAGTCGGTAAACGAGGCACACAGTATCACACGGCCAAGACATTGCTAAAGAAATGTATTTGGCAGCCGCTAAGATCTCAGAGTGTCAATCTCATCCGAAGATCAGTCAGCAACATGCAAGCTTCAGAATGTCCGGACAGTAGTTGCTTGCGCTGACACTCGCTTAAATTGAAACTTGAGGCCTCCATATTGGAGAAATTAGAGTCTCATTGGACGATGATTGGCCGACATTGCATTTCATGGGTGCTGGAGATGGGAGGCTCTCGACCAGTGGAATCTGCACACAGACCCCTCTCATGCTGAGAGCGTGCAGGGCCCGGATACTGAAGCCAATGCTTTCTCTGAAGTTGGCACTGCAGTGAAATTCAGTGAACTTGTTGAGGAGGGTGAACACGACAATGGCCAGGACGAGGTGGACTGGCACCTGGTTGCAACAGTGGCTCAATCGCAACCATCACAGGAGCTCGACAGCGTCTTGTCACAGGATGAAGAGGATTCCCCTTCTTACCAGGACGATTCAGCCACCGTGCCGCACCTGTGCATGGATCCCCAATTGTTTTTTTTTCTTTTTTTTTGCAGGAGGGCACCTCTTATTTAACTGACGCAGACCGCCAGCGTATCGGTGAGGCGGGAAGTTCATGGCATATCGGAAATCAACTTGAAGAGTCGATACATGTTATGGGAGCCTCATTAGACATAAGCCACGGCTGTAAGGCAAACTTCCCGCTAGAGGAGAGCGGTGCATCCCACAATGCCATCCCTTGCTGATAGTATATATTGACCGAACCAAAGCCAAAGCCACGACCAAACCTTTGCTCAAGAAGTTCAGTTGTAGGCCTATTAAGCTCTCTAGGCGAAGGACACTTTGCAAGGCTGTAGACTAAATCGAGGTTCCGGAGTGCAGTTTCTCCGAGTTAGAATTTTCGTGCAAACGGCTCTTGCCCGATGGCCATGTCGGAAGATTCAGCTTCGTAGCTCGGATTCCCCTGTTGGCCGGCTAGGGGCTTGCAGAACATAGGCAAGAGGGTGTTGAGGAAGGGCTGCGGGTTCACCGGCCCCTTCAAAGAGTCGGTAACGATCATCAAGGATGCCCTCCGTCCCTTTTTCCACAGACCCGCACAAATGAGCAGGTCCTTGCCGAGAGGAGGTGGCTGCGCCAAGAAGTCCCAGTTCCATCTCGGATCCAGCCTTATGGCATCTTTTAGTCGCAACGCGTGAGTGTGATACAGTGTGATGAGTGTCGAGTGCACTGCCTCACAGGACCGTTTTGTCCTGGTCGGTACCCTCTTCAAATCTGGATGGAAGATCCAGGCAACTTCAGATCTTAAGATTCCGACAGAAAAAACACAGCTCAGCATCTCTGCTTCTGCTTACAGGCTCGAGGTGCCATGGGGTGATGTTCGCTTGATTAGCGGCGATGGATCTGCTGAGCTTGGATCTGAGTCCAAGATAGTCTGAACATTGCCGTGCACTGTGCATCATTGCGGGCTTAGGGATCTGCATGGGTCGGCAGTAGGGGTATGTTGAATTATGTTGAACCATGCCGAGACAAGGTCTGACAGAGGTCGACCGCCCAGCCGAGGCCGCGAGAGCTTACCCGCTTCACATCGCTTCACTGCACTGCCAAAAGCCGTTTGTACAGCTCATGCCGGTCATGTCTCACATGTTTCCACCGAGGAGGCGAATCCTGGCAGCCTTTGGGCCAAACAACTCCGCCGGCGTATGAGCAGGCTGACACAATCTGACCCAAGTGCAGCCTTGCATAGCCTTGCAGAAGCAGTTTGCATGGACCTGCAGGTGACACCCGAGTTGTTCGAGCTGTGGCAGACGCAGGACTTTTCGGAACCGAAAGCTTCCTTCCTGTCCCATGCTGACCAAGTTCCAGGAGCCGTCCCAGCCACCTGTACATCACGACTCCGATGTGCAGGAGGCATTCTGTCCGAAACTCCTCTTGGGCGGGGTCCTATGTGCTGCTGCACATAGACAGAACGTATGCCACCTGCCGTCCTCTGGGTTTGACTCCGCATCCATGAGTAGGGAAGCCTTCTTGAAAATAGCACTTGCCGCCGGAGGGGAGCGAAGCTGGTGACTCTGCCAACGCAGACTCTCAGACTTCGCAGACATCACATCCTGAGGTCCATGATTCGGCGAGCAGGGTTTTGAATTGTCTGAGCTCTCTTGGCAGAGCTGTCGCAGAGCAGCCAGACTTGACCCCTGCAGGTCGGTCACAGCAGCCCCCAACAGGATGCAGGTCGGGTGGTTCCAGATGTTCCATGAAGCTTTCTTCGAATGACGGTGAGGCCGATTGAAATATCTAGGCATGGGCATCAGGACCTGGCCACGAGATCCCAGACGTCATCGAGAATCAAGAGCTTGAGCTCCTGCCCGAGGGCCTCTTGCCGGATGGCAGGCACATTCGAAGAAGTGCCGACTCTGAGGCTAAGGTTCAACACAGTGCCCACGCCACCCACAATGTCAGGACACAGTCTCGAGGAGGGGAGTTTGCAACTGAGCTGTTGCTAATCCAGCCATTCACCAATGCAAAGGGCTTGCGTTTGTGGAGTGCACGTTTCCCCAGAATGAAGCAAACAAGCTTCAGGCTGTCTCGTGATCCAGAACATTCTGAAATCGTCCTGGATGGCTCCTCAGCAAGTGACGGAGGCTCTGGCTCGCATCAATTGAGCAGCAATCTGGTAAACGTAACACGCTTCATGAAGTGCGGTCTTGATATGAGACGCGCATCGAATCAGTCGTCCAATTACCTAGTCTCGGGCGTCGGTTAAGTACTTGGCACTTGGCAGGCCTTGAGGATGAGTTGGCAGATGGTACAGGACTTCAGCGGACATTGCACTGTTTCAGCTGCCAGTCGGTGAGACGACAGATGTTGGAATGCGCAGGTTCCGAAGAAACTTCGGAAGCTGCTGAAGAGGAGGCCTCAGAAGCTGCTGAAGAGGAGGTCTCGGAAGCTGCTGAAGAGGAGGTCTCAGAAGCTGTTGAAGAGGAGGCTCGGGAGCACAGAGCACTTCCGCATGAATTGCATGAACTTCTATAGTGTGTTTCCGAAGAATCGTGTGCCATCTATTCTATGGCTGTTTCCAAGGCTTTCAAAGGAAACTTTGCCAGACATATCCGAAACTCCAACCTTGCCAGGCGTTCTTGTGAACAAGCTTTGTGTTTTTGGGTTTTCCTAGGCCATATGTACGTACGTATGTATGTACGTAGGTATGTATGTAAGTAGTGTGTATGTCACTGTATTTGTGTATGTATGTAAAGCAAGTATGTTATGTATATGCCAATGATTTTAAACACCAAGTCACTAAGGGTTGACAAAGTGAGCATTGGGGGTTGTTACGCGTGCTTCTATCAGGGTTTTCCTTGAAAGGTTCCTGATCTTTTTGTGCAAAGGTTTCTCCTGGAGTTACGGGTCGGAGTTCCAGCAACAACTGAAACACCATCTCATGTCCTGGAGTTCTGGACTTACAAAAATTTCCTGCATGTCTTTCTTAGTTCCGAAAAGGAGTTAAACAGCGGATGTTCAACATTGAAATATTCAAAAATCTTTTCACTAACTAATGAACCCTCAACTCCCATTAACAGCCAAGTTTTCGAGTTCGAGGACTTCGAGCGCTTACATTTTTCTCGTCGGCATGAACAGCATCATCTCGATCTTTTGAAGCCTTGAGGCCTAGTTATACCTAGTTCCCCGACTATCAATGACACCCGCATGTCAGAGGCTGGGAGAGTTCTTCGGTTTTGGAAGGGGAAGGAACATGCGCAGTGAATGTGCAATGTGCGAGGACGACTCTGCTTCGAGCGACTCGACCTCAAGCGCATGTCAAATTGAGGAGATCGAGGCCTCATGTGAGAACGGAAGCCACTTGAGCAATACTCAGCTGTATTCAGTGTATTCAGCTGTACAAGTTTGTTTCAGGTGACGGGCATGGAGGGCTTTCAGGTGGATGAGTGGGTTTGCGAAGCGCAGGCCCTCCTTTGCCCTGATGCTGTGTGCTAGCATCGCGTAGCCAGATCATTCCGTGAAGGCGCTAATCCCTGCTGAGTCTCCCGAGGAGCAGGCCGCACTTTCCTTTGGGGCTCTCCATATGGCCCTCTTTTTGCACATCCTTGCGCTTCGCTGTGTCGGCAGCGTGGACACAGGTCGATGTGCCTGAGCCATCCAGCGTGACCAAACAGGACTACAAGTTTCAGACAGTCACCGAGATTCACCAAATAGCTTAGACTTGCTTAGACTAGAGCATCTGAAGGACGATGCGGAAGGTGGACCTGTCACAGCTGGAGTCGCTGGAGGTCAGACGGGAACGCATGGGATCGCATGGGAACGAAGTGCAGTGAACCGACTCAAAGAGGCATGTGTAGGCAAAAGCGAAGCAAGGCCTTCCAGTTGATGATGCAGCTGCACCGCCCCCTGTTCTTCTAGACGTCTTGTTCAGAACCCTGGTACCTTGCCTGGTACCTTCGCAGCTGTTGAGGCACAGGAAAAGGTCACCGACGACATGGTTTCAGTCATCATGGATGAGCTGCTCAATGACACCATCCAGCATCTTCACCGCAATGGTGCCCTCTGCAACTGTAGCTAGCTTTTCGTTGTCATTGTCGCCTTCGGGCGTAGATTCGTAGATGTTGCTACGGTGCAGCAATCCCACAGATGTGTCCAACGATGACAGAATCTAGATCAGTACATGCATGAACAAGCCGGGGCCTGGGACAGCTTGTCAATTTCGGGGAGCTTGCGCAGAACGACGCTGTTGTTGCAGAAGAACCAGAAGAAGAAGTGCAGATCTGGAATGTTTGCAAGGTCTTCGGCCGTGTCCGAGCCAGCTTTACGGCACCCAACGCCAATAGCTCCGTCATTCATTGATATCTTCAGCGAGGAGACAAACAGTCGTGCATCAATACGCTTCAAAGATGTATTCAATGTATGTGTTCCGATCTGTGACTGGCCTAAGACAGGATTCAGCTCCGGATGGATCCAGCGCGGAAAGCGAGAGCGTCGTTCAACCATCTCCAAGAAGGCAGAGTTGTTCCGACATGTTCTGAAGACGGCAGCACAATTGGCCGCACTTGGCCACATTTAGGCTCTTTCTACGTCACTGACGTCACTGTCTGCAACAGTCAAGCTTCGGCATGTGTGCGCAGGCCGCCTTCGCAGAAAAGCGAAACAGAATCGGGCAGCATTGATGCATTAAATGGACCACGTTCAGCACCGTAAGTTTAGTAAGATCTGTGTGAGTGGCAAGTTTGAGCATTTGGTGAAGTCCTAGCACCTCTGCACCCGTGCCTCTTGCCCGCGAAATCTCCATCGCCGTTTTCAGGCGTGTCACCAAAAAAGATGCCGTCAAAAGCTGAAGAAATCCGCCTGGCAGCAGGAGGAAAGCTTTTGTGTGAAGTTCGTGTTGCGAGCAGGGGTCGCCAAACGGCAGCCCTCAACCCCAAGCCCCAGCCAGAAAATGAATTAAACCCAAACGCCCCAGATCGAAGCGCGAAACCGTAAACCTCAACCGAAACCTGGAGAGGGTGGAATGGCTTCCTACTCAGTAGTTTTGGCCGCGCCGCCATGGCACGCTGTGGCACGCCCTAAATCCCCAAAGGAATAGTGACAGGCAACCGAAGCCTACGCGGCAGCCAGCCAGATGGCAAGCAAATTCAACTATATGGTCTCGAGTTGGTACCCCCCCCACCCACCCCTCATGGTCTCCACCGCCCTCCCCCCCCCCCCTCCCCGCTTTCCCTTCCCTTTCCCTCCCCTCCCCTTCCTTTTCCCGGATACCCCAGTGGTGGGGTGGTGAGGTTTGGGTTTAGGGTTTGGGGTTTGGAGTCCCAGCTTTCGCACTCCTGTGGAGTGGAGGTGGGGTTGGGTTTGGGGATTTGGAGCCTCCCCGCCTCTGTGGTGTTTTGTGGATTTCTTGTGGTGAACCTGAGCCCGAACCCGCAGCCACAATTAGACATGATATGGGAAAAAATGTCCGGGACGACGTGATGTGCCGTATGTCGCAGATTGACCAGTGTCTATCCCCATGACGCAGCTTGCACTGTGTTTGAGGGCGAATGTTGGTTTGGTGTCCTGAAGCCTCCAGAAGCCGTCGCTTCCCTGCTCCCGTCATCTCGTGGAGTCTCGCATGACCGCCTGGACTCGGTCAATTTGAGGACAGTCAGTCCAGCTGACCCAACCAGATGCAGTAATGTCAGGGTTACCGTTACGATGATACCCGTCCCAAGTTTGTTCTGGCGCTGTGTCCAAACACAAGTTTTGACGGATGGTAGTAAATGCTGCGGGGTGGGGGGGGGGGGGGTCATTTCCCCTCTTCTAGCTTCTTCAGTGCCTCTTCGGTCTCTTGTTCCAGGCGAGGCTTGACTCCGAACCTGACCACTCAACCTCGGATGACGAGACCATTTTTTGGCGAAAACTGTTGCGAAATGGTTTGCTTACTTACCCAGTGTATTTATTTCCAACCCGGCCCCAACGGCAATCAAACAACTTCAGCCTCATCACGTTTGTCGATTACTGCCCGATTGCCCGACAAGGCTAGGATAGGCTAGGATCGGCTCATGGTTGGTCAGGCGAGAAAGCTTCCAAGGATGCTGGGCGAAGATCTCAGCCTCGCTCGAAGGATTCTGAGAGAGTGCTGAATGCTCAGACAAGGCCACCGCGCCCGCCCTCGCCACCTCCTGACTTGCGCAGAGGCCTCAAGGTTAAATCACGGACTCCTTGTCTCTTGTACAGCTCTCAGTATTAATGTTACATACACCTCTGCGTGCAGGTTTTTCATGATTACACCCCGGTTGTGCATCCAGGTAGCACAAGTACAGAAAGTGCCAACGACTCTGCAGCACCGCTCCTGCCTCAGACCTTCGCTGCCACATGTCCAGTGCCTGTGCAATTCGGCGAATACCATGCAATGCCAATGGCTGAAGGCAGAAATCTCAGTCAAGCCCGAAAGGCGCGCCATCCAGTCACCCCTGTTTTGCAGCGTGTTCTAGATGATTTCATGCGCACAGGGCGGCAAGAGACGGCGGAGCTGATCAGTCAGGCCAGATGCATCAACCCAAGGTGTGTCTAGCAGACTCTAGCTAACGTGCGACACTGCTCGGTAGTACTGCAACCGTTTGCATGGTCGTGGTACCGGCCGACAGCCATTTTGCTGTCGCAGTTGCCTTCGAGGGTTGCTCTAAAGGTCTGTACTGTAGGTGACCTAGCGTCCGCCAGAGTCTCGAGAAAGAGGGCGCGAAAGGAAAGCACTTTTTCCGCGACAGTTGGCCATTTCCGAATTTTGAGCAATCGCGTGGAAACCATAATTATCCACCATGAGTTTCTAGGATCAGGCCTCAGTCTATGTCAGTCCTGGCGGGACCTGGCCGGCCTGGTCCACCCACACGACGTTGTGACCACTAGCAAGCCAAAAAAAGGCGGCAGCCGACAGCAGGGCCGTCAGGTGAGCACTAGAAGGGTGTCCAAATTGCCAATGTACTATGCACGACGGTCAAAGACTAGAGCCCCCCTCCCTTGTACGCACACCCACCGACAAGGTCGTCTGGGTTGGTCCGGGTAGTCCTGAAATCTTGATGCTTATTGGCTGGGCGTACCACTCGGACGTGAGCCCGAGCCGAAAGACTACGGTAGTAGGAAGGTGGCAAGCACAATTTCGGAATGGGTGTCCATTTGAATTAGGTTTTTTGGAAAATTCGGAGCTGTCATGGTCATGGCAGCAATCAGTGGCATCAGGTATCAGAGAGAACCTTCAACTTCAACTATAGTTTATCCATCGGGAAATTCTTGACCCTAAATGGCCATTAAGGCTTGTCTGGTGAGTCCATGTTTGTCCACTGGTAGTCGTTCTTCCTGGCTGGGAGAATGTGCGATGTCCATTGAAGGAGTTGCTTGACATGATGCTGGGAGAGGCTCATGCTGTCTCACGATGCGCTTATGCGAGCATCAGTGGTCTCCACCATCTCCGCCGTCTCCACCCTCTACGCCTCGATTCCAGGCGCTTGATGAATTCGAAGACTCGCCCGGTCGGCACAAGACCAGTCCACGAGAGGCGGCAGCCGATCTGAGTTTCACATTTCACTCATTTTCACTCTCTCTCCGGCAGCTGGGACAGGAGACTCGAATCAGTGTTCCCGATGCTGGATCCGCGCCAGCAAGTCCACTCGCAGGACGCCGTGGAGGGAAGCAACAAAGGCTAAAAAGGGCACATCTGTGATTACCTGTGAGGACCGCAGCCAATCGACACCTCAGAAGCTGTCGCCCCTCGTCCGAAGGTGCAAAGTAATGGTGCACTTAGCAGCTGCAGTGGCACAGCACTGCAGTGGCGGAGCTTTCGCGGAGCTTTCTCCAAGCTTATCTCAAAGATTCTCCAAGGTGGCTCCGTTCCTGGACGTCGTCTTCCAGCAGCTGGGTGTGACCGATGAGGATGAGGTGGTGCACTGCACATGACGTTCCTGGAACATGCAAGGGTTGAAGCACGTTGAATCCATGCGTCAGGCGCAGCCGATTGTTGGACCACTCCCAGATGTCGAGGACTGCTGCGATGCCCTGAAAAGAAGCAGTCCTCTTGTGCCTTGTGGCCTTGTGTATGGTTCTTGTTCCTGCTAGGAGTGGCTACCGGCAGTGCTCGAAGTCATGAAGACGCGTCATCGCTGCAGTCTCAGTAAGACCACGCAGGTTGTTCGACCCTGTTGACATGACATGTCTGCACATGCACTGTCACAGGTGCTACCCGTGGGGAAGATCGGCCCAAGGCAGGACCTCCAAGCAGACCGAAGGAGGAGGAGGCGAGCAGAGTGTCAGAGTGGCAGAGTAGACCAGTAGACATTAGAAGAGCACAAAAGCAAAGCAAGTCAAAGCCATGAAACATTTTCAAAGCAGGACATCGAGCCCTCCTTGGAAGAGACGGCCCACAGCTCAGCGGAGCTCTTTGGTGCTCGGTGCTTGCAAGAGTTCACTTGGTAAACTATCCCCAGGAAGTCCAGAACGTCGAGAGCTTCACTCGACTGCATTCGCCTCACAAATGTTCCACGATACACTACAATACTCCATGCCACTCCAATCTTGGAGCTCACGGCTATCTGCACCATCCAGGCTTGCAGATGCTTTTCTGGAGACGGCGAATGAAGAGGTCAAGGACTGCTTAAAGGGACCATGTCATCAGTTCAATCAGCATTTGAACTCGGACGAGCTGCAAGGAGCAAGGTCCGCGGATAATGGGTTGGCGTCGACCCTGTTTCGGTGAAGCGCCCCTCTCACGTTTCCGCGCGAAGCAGGACTTTCGAGTTGGTTCCTGTTCCCATCTCGCTGTTGCCTGTTTCTGCAACTCTCCCGGGTCCGCACAAAAACTCATCCCCGGACGTGGACAGGAGGGCACCACTCCATCACAGCAGCAGACCTGGGAGAAGGCCACCATTATCACGAAAGTTTTGGCACTGCACATAGTGCGTTGGTGGGAATCTGTATACCTGTGGCCATGGCAGGTGAGGGAGAAGCTGACCGAGGCAGTACGCTTTGGCTGGCGAAACGAGGTGCGACGGCACGACAAACACTCGGCGCGCTTCGGGCGCTGTTTTGTTGCTTGAGATGGATGGTGTCGTCGCTGTCTTTCGCACTTGCCAAAGACCCCCACTGCCGAAAGCTACGTACGCAGGCCGGTGGAGATGAGCTTCCTGCAGGCTCCGCACTGGCTCTCTTGAGGGGAGCGTGGTGTTTTCTAGTGGTTCTAGCGTGTGTTCTGTGTTATTCCGTGTATTTCTGTGTTTCTGAAGCGAGACTGCGCGAGCGAGCTGAGGCAGAACCCTTGAGGCTGATGCTTCGTCAGGCTGTGAAGCGAAACTCTCCGTGTGTTTTTGTGAGTGTAGGCGCACGTGCATACATGCGTGCTCATCTCAATGTGTTGTGTAGCCGTATGTGAGATGCAGTGAGATTGTGCAGGTGGAGCTGTCACCCTGTCCAACATTGATGAAGGCAGCTTCCGGGTGTTGCCGGGTGTTGCCGGGTGTTGCCGGGTGTTCTTGTTTTTGGGACAAGTGTTGCACAGCTGCTCAGCTACTCCGGGCCACATCATGCCGCTCCAGCCTGTCTGAGCGGTTGCTCGGGGGTTGGGAGGTAAGCGAACTATTCAGCTAGTCAACGAAAGTTGGTACATGGTTGAGCACCTGTATTCAGATGTGTGGCAGTGTTGGATGCATGCAAGTGCTCGAACACGGTAGCTGCTAAACTTCTGCATCGTAACCACCTCCAGATTTCTACAGCATTTTCCTTGAAGCGGCGCAGGCAGTAGGCACTGTACAAGAAGGTCGTCTGCTCATCCAAGCCCTGAATAGCACGTGGAGAGAGAGGCGAGCACCCAGGATCTGACACGTTTAGCTGCTGTGGTGCCGTGGAAGATGCACGAAGGGCACAGGCTCGTCGTGAGAGCGCCACAATGGAGCCAGCCCATACCCGACCCCCATGCAGCGCCCAGCCAAAACAATGTGGGGGAAGAGCGACCCCCAATCCAAGAACCACTACCAAGCAGCGGACGTCATACGATTGGCAGCCACAGACGCTGCACACCCAGGACCGGCAACAACCACACCAGCTCACCTCCAACAAGCCATACAACCCCTGTGAGATACACGGCCCTTCGTAGAGCAGCAAGCAGCAGGGCAAATCACCACAGCGATACAACACATCCAACCTGGATGGCCCAACACTGAGAAGAACAAGGGCCCATCCTCGTGGACAGCCAAACACAACAACCTTCCCCATCAACGCCGCTTCCCAAGCTGAAAGCCCACCACCACAACACCCAACTGACCCAACAATCCCCCCTCCCGGCCAGAGGAGAAGAACTGGAGACACCAGAACTTGAAGAAGGAACCCGCCTCGCGGGAATGCTCGCAAGGCCAACAGTACATCAACGGCCAGCAGCGACGGAAGAGACCCGCCAGGACCTACACACCATCACCACACTCTTCAAAACAGCAATCCGGCGGGGATAGAGCTATGGCCACCGCTACCAACAAGATGAGGGCCCCGCCAAAGAAGAACAAGAGGCGAGGGAGAGGGGAGAAAGAGCGTGCAGGGAGGCGATCACACTACTAGATGAACTCCAAGAACAAGTAGACATGCTACTGAGGAGAGAGTAGTGGCGGGCATACTGGAACAAGTGGTGGGGCACACGTCGCCAGGGAGGTGCGGGAAACGCACGTCCCTGCTGCTTTCGCACCACCGAATGCATTCGCGCTGCATGTTTGGCAAACGTCTGCCAAGAGGGCTTGCTTTCATGTGCCATACGTCCCAAGCTGCTGTGGAAGACATGGGAAGACCACACATATCCGGCATTCTCCCGCCTTCATCTAAAATGGCACCAATGTACCAATGGAGCACCAGTTCCAGGCCCGCAAAACGGATTTAACAATCCAAGGTAGCTTTCAATGGTTTACAGAAGGCTCCAGAAAGTTCAGCAGGGCTGCGATGTGCGCCACAGCGCCAGTGCCGTACATGTGATTCTTGTTCGCTCGAAGCGTGAACGCCACGGAAGTAGGAATACATACCTAGGTTGGCGTAGGTTCAATGATGCGCCTAACTATGGCGACAGCGGACGAGAGCGCATCAATGCAATCGCTTCCTTCGTCAAGCCGGGCAGGTGTTTAGTTTTCTCGGTCTACTGGATTTGCAGATGCCATTAGTGCGCGATTCAGGTATCGATGCGCTTCTGGAAGAAGAGATCTGCAGTGTTCCGAGTGCCGTTGCTGTCTGTGTCTTAGCGGAGGCAACCTTTTGGCACACTTGAGGCAGTGATGAGGCTTCCTGGTTAGACATCAAGGGCGACGTGCAGAAGGTGAAGAACCAGGCAAATGTCTATGCCTGCCAACCTGAAGTTTTGGCGTGGTGCAGTTGACTTGGATCGAAGGTTGCTGGGATGATTTTCATGGATCTTGTCGACGAGATGGTCACGGAGATTGGCAGCATGTGGTCGGTTTCGATGCCGCAAATAATGCCATTCTTTCTTGCTGACTGTGTTTTGCTTAAGCCGCCACTCCAAACCATCCCAAACATCCCAAACCATCCCAAGCCCCAAACTCGCCAATCCTAATCAACGCAGCACGCAGTGAAAGCAAGAATGTGAGCCCCGCAGAAGCAGCAAAATCCAGTTGTGTGGCCTCCCTGCAACCTGCAACCTGCAGCAGCCACATAGAAACATATAGAAACCGTGACAGCAAGAACCGCAAGTCCTCTTGCCTTGACAAGCCTTGAGGCATAAGAGTGGGCTCGCCACTCCTGCAGACTTTTTGCTGTACCTCCGCTCCAGCCAAAAATTCGGTGCGACTTTTTACACTCTCTGCATTGCCAGTGGTTTCGACCCCTGAGTGAGTCAAGTACTGTACAGCCGTCCGGGCCCTGTGGCAAAAGGTATGCCTTGCTGCCCTGTAAATGCCCTGTACAATTCGTACAATTCACACGGAGACCGACAACCCACGACAGCCCGCTTTCAAGCGGAGATGTTGGGGAGTCTGCGACTCCAATTAGCCTTCTTGCTCTTTGCAAGAAGTGGTTTCACATGTTTGTGCGTGGAACAGTTACAGTTACACGTTGGCTTGGTTAGAGATAGCAACTATGCAGCAATGAGAACATACTGAGTCTATCGCTTTGACGTCTGACGATCTCGCAGCAATACCGAATAGCTTGGGCGATGGACAAGCGTTCGCATTGTCCAACTTAGAGATCTCATTTCCGCCCATGAGACAAGAATTCCTGCAAGTGTCAGACGGCCTTAAAAAGGCGTGTGCCAGGATGCGCCCAGTACTGTCCCGGTTTTCAACTTCTTGGTACCCAGGGTGCCCAGTGCTTGAGATTGGGCTGTATCTGCAGCGCTTCTTGTTCCTTTGCGGGCGCATGGCGAGATGGCGCCTACCACACCAGCACAGCCCTTGAAATTGACATGAATCTCACCGCCTGCTCATGTTATCTCATGTCACATTTTCACCATTCAGCCTGTTGCCTGAGGTCCAAGAGCCGCCTCTGAATGTACCTGTCTCAATACGACCTCAAACGCCTCAAGCTGTCACAGCACTGGGCTGAGCTGCAGGTCCGTGAGAAAGGAGGTCGTATCGTGGTAGTCTTCAACGTGCCGAATGTGCGAGCGAATTCGGTGCAGGCTTGCATTTTCATGGCCAGTGCACAGCTAGTTTGGATAACTCTGGTGAATGCTGGTGAAGCTGGGTGCAGGTTGAAAGCGCAGGACCTAGCGAAGACGAACCCGCAGGTACCAGATGACAATCGCGCCAGTCCCAAAACTGAAGATGCGGATGTCAGCCCTGCAGGATCTGTGCACATTACCTTCAGCTCCCTGTCTCCTAGTCGAAGCTTTGAGAAACATCTGGCGAAAAACTCAGCTCGCCACTGAATCAGGGTTGTAGGTTCGCACTTCCATTCTGTGCCTGAGGTGCTCCCACATGGCATTGAAGAAAAGATTATCAAGGATGCTTGGAGCCCAGTTCTGCACGCGTGTGGCAGCCAGTGTGGCAGCTGAGGAAGTGTTACAGGATAAGAGCTGGACTGGGCAGGTAGATTTGTGGTACTGTAGTCACTGTAGTCTTTCTAAGCTCACTGCGGGGGGGGGGGGGAGGCGGGGTTGAGGTGGGAGAGTTGCAAAAGCCCCTGCCAACCAAGAAATGAGAAGAAGTTCAAGAAGTGGAGCAGCGTTTTGGTTTGCTCAACTTTTCGCATTCCGACCTTTCGGGCTTTGTCATGTTTTCGGGCTTTCTGAGTTTTTTGACTGTTCCCCACTATTCGGGTTTTGAGCTTTGCCGACTTTGCTGTTTATTGTCTCTAGGCCTGCCTGGCTTATTCTCTCAGCTCCGTACTTCTCCGTCCTACTGTCATTGGCTTACCGGTCCGCGCGGATCCGCGCTCGGCTTCGCCCGCCACCATGCTTGTTTTGCTTGTTCTTTTTGATGCCTTTGTCTGTTGGCCCACACATACTCCCCCAGACGTCGAAAAGTTGAAAGTGTAATCGAGAAAGCCGAGATATGCCCTGATGCAGCTAAGCGAGCAACCGTAACAGCGAAGTTCCAGAACCAGCGATCAATACTGCACCAGCTGTTCGGCACTTCCTTTGCCGGAGCCAATAGCCCAATAGCTTGCGTCGGTTTTTTGGAGCTTTTGCATTTGGTGACTTGTCAGCTCTTTTAGACATGCAGACTTTCAGCGATTTTTTCTGCGTCTATGTTTTGTGATCTTCTCACTTTTCAGGGGCTGTGTTTCGGCTAGTCGTAACTTTATAGTAAATATCATTCTTTCACGTGCAGTTCGTGGGCCGGTGTTTACTTATTTGTGTAACCGTACCTGGTTTCTGCTACTTTTCTTGGGGGGGGGGTGGGAATAAGAACGTCATTTCGTTTTGCATGCATGCCCAAAACACTGGTATTTACGGCTTTTTCGCCTCTTTGTACAACATACTGCACAAGGATGTGGAAGAAGAAATCTGTCACAAGCGTCCAGCCTTTCGCGACCATGCCCAACACACGTCCCACAAAAACCGTGAAAGTCCTGGCAAATGCGCTTTCGGAAATGCAAGCTTCCAAAAAACTCAGCAGAGGCTGTCTTGGCAGAAATGCATGAAAACATCGCAAATTACAGTGTTTGCCGCGCGCGCGCACACAGCAAAGCTGTGAGACTCGCGTCACGACTGCACACACAGCAGAGGAAAAGTCCCAGAGCGCTGAAGGCCCCAACAACAAATCGACCGGAAAATGTTGCAAAAACCCAACGTTTCGCAAAAAAGACATACGAAATCACGCATTTCTTAAACCTGCCAAAAATGAGCATTTCACCTAGGCGAGACGCTAACTTTCAATACACATAGGGTACGGTTTCAACAGCGGAGGGTTATGTCAGGAGTTCTCACTATTAAAGCATTTCTCTCACTGCTCGCGCTGTCCGTAAGCTCTTCGGCAAGCGTAGAATTTAAAGTTTAAGATTTAAAGTTAAAGACTATTTGACCGTTTGGCTGCCCGTGTCCATGCAAAGCCCTTCGCAACAAATAAGGAACTAACCGTCTTGTGTGCTTGGAGGTTCAGAGCAAGTCCTTGACGGTTCAGCTGGCACCGGGCCAAAGTGGGTTTTTGCCGCATCTGCACCCAGAGAAATATTGGTAAAATGCCTATGCGCAGAGGTGAAGTTGGATGCGGCCACGGTCTCCTCCTCAGTTTGTGCATTCTCAGCAATGAAACCGGTCGATGCATGGATTGGATACGATCGAGTAGTAGACGAGGAATGGGGACAAGCATGGTTGAAGCCGGCCAAGGGCAAAGCCAAAAGGAGCCGTCGTTTGCTTTTCTTCAATGTGGGAGCCTTCTGGTGTTGGGGTTACGTGGCAAGGAAGCATTTGCCTGATGATAAAGGCGCACGTCAACCCCGTTGGCAGTGTTCAGGAAGTTCAGGGGTTTCTGGAGTTTCTTTCAGGCAGTCCTTCGCCTTCACCAGCCCCATTGCCCGATCCAAAGGCCGAGTCCTGCGGGTGCTTTGATGTGCTTAACATGCATTTATTGTGCATTCTTTGTGCAGTTGGTATTCATTTTGTTTGTTTTGTACCATTTGCGAGATGGGGTGAGTGTATAAAGCGCGACATGTAGGTCTCGGTATCGAACGACCTTGACGAGCTTGAGAGGCCGCAGGCGAGCCGGATGTCAACGAATCTGGTCGACGAGTCAACATCCCCTCCCCCCCGGCCCCACTTTGCAGAGCCCGCTGCAGGAACATCAGGAGTCTGGTGGTCCAGAAGTAAAGTCGGGAAGTCAGGATGCCAGTCAGGAACAGGAACAGGAAAAACTAGAAGCTCCGCCCAGAGACGTTTCTCAGGGCGAGCCAGGTAGCAAAGATGGCAGCGAAGCTGCCGAAGCCGCCGAAAGCCATCAAGTCCCCGCTGTCGCGGAGCTACTCGGACTGCAGATGCTTTGACTGCTGGAGGAGCGACGAATACATCAAAAGCCCATGGCAGCTTTGCCGGCTTTGAGCCGCTTTGAGCCCCAGGTCTGACAAGACAGAACCCAAGCGAAGCGAATCAGAGCCCAGCAGCGCAGCTTGTCATCAATTCATCAATTAGCTCTCCCCGCGAGACCGCATATTTGCCAGCTCATATGCCAGCTCTCAACTGTTCACAGTGGCATCTTGTCATCTTGTGCAATCTTTTGTGCCAGTCCTTGTGCCTTGGTGATCGTTGGTGATCCTTGCTGCCTTCCTCGCGGCTCAGGCTGGAGGGAAGGCAAAAGCGCGCCGCGGCAAGAAAAGCAAGTCGAAGGCCGGCATGTGGGCAAGTCAGCAAGTCAATGCAAGTAATATTGGTCAGTGGATGTGGGTTGAAGTCAGACGCGGGGAGGAGTCTGTCAGGCGAGCATTGGGTCAGGGGGGATCTTAGGGGCAAGCTCCTGAGAGGAGGATGCCAACAAGGAGCTGCAGGCCACAAGTGATGCTGTGCGATAGCCGATCGCGTAACGGCCCAAGCCCTGAAAAGCACAAAATTCGGCATAAAAGCTTTATCAATCGTGCATAGGCGGAACATGCCATGGCATGCGTTGGCAGGGTCAGAAGGATCGCTGTGAGGACACCAAGGTGGGCAGCCAGGCCAGCCAAGCTCTTAGAAGCACCTACTTCGTTGCCTCGTTGCCTTTTTTTTTGGAAGGTTCTTGCAGCCGAATCCAAAAGGACGATGGCTGCAGTGGCTGATAGTGGCTGATAGTGGCTGATAGTGGCTGTTCCATGTTGTGTTGCAAGATGCTCCAGGACTCGACCGGATCAGGAGCATCAGCCTGCCAAGGAGTTCAAAGAAGACAAACTCCCGGATCTTCAGAAGCTGTTTAGCCAGTCCATGGAATGGCTGAAAAAGCAGCAAACTGGGCTGCTGAAAGACTATCCAATTGAGCCTCCAGCTGACCCAGAACTTCAACGCCTCGTCAGTTTGCAGCTTAGCCTTGGGCAGTGTATCAGTGCATTATCAGTGCTGTCAGTGTGAACATGCCCCTGAAGTGTTGCGGCCATGTTCCGACAGAACATGGCGGCCAAACCTGAAACCCATCACAACCCGAAGAAAAGGAAACACACACTCGAGTCATGAACTGTGTGGATATGTCTGTATGTGTATATGTGTGTATGACGTAGCTGCATAGTCAGTTTAGTGCTGCGGCATGTGCGGCATCTTGTCGCCGTCACAAGTACTGTATCATGCTGTCAACCTGGTCATCATTGGAAATCGATCTTTTCAAA